TCTGGTCCATATCCTTTCCTTAGGAAGGTGTGCTAGACACTGATTAATGTAACATAAAAATACTATACATATTTATATATTTTGCTATTGTATTGTGGAGTGACACTTTCATAAACTTTTCTATACCCCTCTGATTATATAATGGTAAATATTACAATATCATAGCACAACAACAGTGCTCAGCAATAATGATAAGCCTAATACTCACAATAAAAATAATAAGGTCATATAGATCATAACACAGTCTCGGAGGTAAGAAGTGGATTATCCTTCACCTGAAATATTTATCTTTTCATCCTGAAATGCGAGGCAAATGTTGGATCACAATAATTAGGAACCACAGTTTGCACAATATCCCTTCATATAGACCCTTCATTTGATTGGGATGTTCTCTTTTATTCTGGAGGGCAAGGGCAGTGACTGTACCATCGAGCGTATTTTGCAGTATTAAACACGTATTTATACCGATTTCATCAGGCTCCAAAAATTCTTCAAAAAGAAAACAAAGAATGGCCTTCTCAGCAGCCGTCATCAGAACAGTGTGTTCAACGCACCACCGTTTCTGTTTAAAAAACGTTTTGCACCGTTTTGTCAGGGCTGAACGCAGCCCTCGTGTGATTGTGACATTATGAAAATAATTTTTCCATTTTATTTAAGTTTATTTTTTGATTCCCATTGGCTGATGTTTGTTCTTGTTTTAACCTGTAAAAATGTAATTTTTGTCTAATGTAATTTTGATCAGTCTCACAGAAAGCAATACTTTTTTTTTCATGTCAGTTTGGTTCAATATATATTTACAATATAAGTAAATATATATTGATTTAGCAATCTTTTGATGTTTGTGCTGAACAAGACAAAAATTATTGTTGTTGTTAAATACTGACTTTTTATTTTTTTACAGTGCAATAAAATCATATTTTTGAAATATTTATAATTGTATTATTATTATTATTATTATTATTATTATTAAATACTGGCTGTTTATTTTTTTTATAGTGCAGTAGCATTATTGTAATCATACAATTTTATGGATGTAACGCCCCTGTGGACTGTTTATTGTGGTTTCTTCCCCTTCTGTTGGTTTAGCCTGTACTAATCATTAATTACCCTCATTGTGCTCACCTGTCTGCCTCTAATTAT